GGTTATCGGAGGAAATGAGTAGAATACTAGGAACCTACCTAAAGCAGTTATCAGTATAGCATAGTTTTATGAATTCTTCATGCAAATCGAGGAATGTGTCTTCCGAATACTTAGTCAGAGATATCAGAGCATCTCTAGTTGCACTAGAAAGTAGACTGAGCAATGCTTAAAGCAAATCGAGGAGACAGAAAGGAAAGTTCAGTCACAATGAAAATAACTTTATTTATACAGGTATGATAAACCTTCCTTTTAAATGCTATAAATAGAAGCAACATTCTTTTTCTAACAATACATCTCACATTTAAATTGAATCATTGAAGTGCACTAAATTACTGACTAAGAAAGAGCAAGAAAAAGCTGCTTAACCTTCTCATTTATCTATGCAGTGATTCATAAAAGTTCTATCCACAACCGACCGATAAATCTCTTGTAGCACCAGACGTATTATGTTAACAGTGTTACACCATAAAGCTAATACAAAGACGATGAAAGACTTGAACCGTTGTAACAACAGGAGCTTATTCAATACCATGTAAATAGGAAAGAAAATGCTCTGATTTGACACTAAAGAGCTTATTTATGAAGAAGAACAAATATCCTTCTAGAAGAATCATTTTCTTTTGGAAAGTTTAAGACATTAGTAGATAGCATAGGAAAAAGATACTTTTTTTATCTCTCGAAGTCTCTAGACCGTTTTTTACAGATCGAATTACGTACGGAAGGCCACAGCTATAAAAGACACAGTTTATTGTCGAATTTCTTGATATCTGTGTCGCCACATATATTTCACATAAACTTATTTTACATACACATGAAGTTTATTTCGGTAGATTAATTAAATTTTTTCTGTTCGTCCTTCTCTTGTAATACTTAGAATAACATTTGATATATTAAAACGTAACAACGGTATTACAAAGGCTTTCTTGTTTATTTTTACTGCAACCTTTTACGATATGTTTTCAAACAAAATAGTGGTTCATAGGTAAATTTTGACAGGCTGCCCAATATATTAGTTTTATTTGGAAATAGTTATGTTTTCTTGGAAAAAACAGTAATGCTGTTGCGTTTTTTCGATATAGCGCATTTCTCCTAATGTAAGTATTATCTACTGGATATACAATTTAATAAAAAATCTATCCCGAATTTTTATCTATAGCTATTTGCTAATAATGAAGAGAGTACACGAACCGTTAAAAACTTTAGTTAGAGTTCAGCCAAAAGATTTATTTTCTATTCTACTTTGCAATTTACAAATTTTTTAATAATAATAATTTTAGATTGAAATTATACAATTTTAAATGAGTAAATAGTTATCAAGAATAATAGTACAATAGCAGCTGATTTAATATGTAACATATAATACATTATGTAATATTTTTTGAAGTTTTCATTTTATTAGAAAATCATTTTCAAGGTTGTCCGTCTGCAAAATACAAACTTAATCAAAATTGAACGGAGTATTTACACATTACAGAACCATTTTCTTTTCCTTTCTTTCTTTTTTCTTTGTTTTACTTCACTACTAAAGAGTAATTTGAGCAGATAGATAGAATTATTATTATTATTTTTTCTACATCTTTTAAAAATCTGTTCGCCTAGACGAATATTTTTCGTTATTTCTGGTACGAATCTTATTCGAGTCTTATCCGATTCTTACATAATAAGTCCACATGAAAATGGCAAGAATTTTGTAAAAATTTCGATAAGAATCATGTAAGATTTAAATAAGAATGAGTTACTACTTTGATCACTTCCTTATAAAATTCTGACTAAAAACTAGATACCGTTTTATTTTGCAGAAGCACATACTATGTAAGCACTACTGATTTCTTGGAAATATTTTCAAAGTTTCTTCAAGGTAGGTAAGACTGGTAATTTTGAGAATGCCTTGCGACCTCTCACACACACACAATAATGAACTATACAGTTAACTGAAGAAAAAACAAATATTGGAAATTGTCAGACTTTGCCCTTTTCTTGTCAAATTTTTACGGGATTCTTAACTGATTCTTATCTGCTTTTTATCAAATTCTTGTCACTTTTGTGTGGACTTCTTATGTAAGACTTCAATAAGAATCTAATAAGATTCTAATATCAGTCATATCGGATTCTTATAAGTTAACTTCTGATAAGTTCTTTATCAGATTCCTATCAGATTTTTTTGTAAGAACTGATCACTACGGTCAACGTTTTTTTTTCTTACACATTTTTTGTTGTATGTGTGTGTAGGTGGTTTTATTTTTTGTCATTGACTGTTTTGTCTAAGAAACAGTAGAAGAAACATAGAATTAGGTTGTAGGTTGAATGAACGGGCTTTGTAGAAGGTTGTGGTTTACTTTAAGCGAATTTTAAGTTCCATACTCGAAATGTACCAATGATATTTAGTTGCTTCTGCTGGATTTTAACGAAATACCTAAAATTATTTTAAATCTTTAAACTAACTATACATTGCATAAAGACCGAATCTACTTTACATCATGTTTCTAGCTGATCGTCCTCTCTAAAATGTGCAATGGGAAACCACAATATAAAATAGCTACGAAAGATACATGTTTTAGATAGGAAGTGCGAAATTTCTTGCGAAGCATTTAATAATTAGATTAGATTAAACAAGAATATACAGAGGAAACGATCAGAATTTAAGGATATTTACCCCCAAAATATTTATTATTTGAAGTTTGATCAGATAGATCTTTGACCATAAATGCAGTTAGTTGATTCATAATTTTATAGTCTAGTTTACCTAATGCCGTATATATTACTTTTTTGTGTTGTCCAGTCTCAAGAGTTTGCAGATATTTATGTAATTACAAATGCATAGTTTTGTTAATGTAGTTTATGGTAGAAATGCTGTCTGAATTTCAAAAAGTCATGCCATATTGTCTAAGTTCTGAAGTAAATAAAAATGGTGGATGATACAATCAACCATATTCTTTTCTCACTGGGTGAACCACAATCCATGGAGCCCGTTGGTATAACAGCATGCTTTGTTCTTAACTGATCTCGGACATTCGCTGCCGTCCGGTCTTTAGGTTCATACAGTAGTTTACTTTCAAGAAGAAGCTTTTATACTATTAATAGCACTGTTCCAAATGCTGTCTGAGAAACTCAGATAAAATTCTTCCCATAAAAGTCTGTTTTTGACCAATCCAAGCCGACTAGACTGTAAAAATGATAAAGCAAGCGAAGAAAATAATGTCAACATCAGTGACTAAATGCGCTATTGAACAGCGACATTTTACTATATCCGATTATTAATGATTCTTACAGAGTAAAAATAAAGCTGTTGCTTTAGTATAGAACACTGCCATGGGGAAAGTAAACCAAGTTATAGACTTTTTGTAAGTGATAGTTAAAGGCGTAGCTCGGTCGGGGCATTACTTTCAGTCTCAACTTAATTAATTAAACAAATTATTAAAGAAGAGAGCGTATGTATACGTCCATCGAAACGTTTAGGGATTCAGTAGGCAACTAGATTAATATTTTTAAATATTTGCGTCTCTATGAAAACATGTACACCGGCTCTTTTCTTTTGAAATGTACAACAAACAGTTTTAAACAGAAGTTTTATATTTGAACTCTTTTACATCGAACATAGATCACTTCGTAGTTATCATATAATTTTACCGATTGCCATCCATAATAATTTCCAAATATTTCCTTTGTCTTATAAATTTATTCTACGTAATAACAGCAGTTCTATTTCTAAAACATTTTTTTTCTTTTTTTTCTCTAAAACAATTGCTTTTGATTTTTAATATGATTTAAAAAAAGAAGAAAGAGTTCTTTCTTGTTTTTTCTTCATTTTCAATAAAGCATCAAAAGCCGATACATAGATTGAATAATTTACGCTCATTTCTTTTTCTCACTTCTCTATATTCTCTCGCTTCAAAGTGAAATAAAAACAGCACACTGTAAAACGATCGTGGCTCCTATCAACTATTCTTGTTTGAAACGTAAATAGTTCGTTTTCACTTTTTTTCAAGAAAGAAGAACAGAAAAAGAAAAATGAAATGAGATTAATGGAAATACAAACAATTTGAGGTCAAGCGTTCACAGAGTACCCACATGATACATGAACTGATCCATTTTCTGTTTTTCTTTCTTTGTTCTCTCGTTCTTTCAAATTCAATTTGCAACTACGCCAACCGAAATTTTTAATTTCTTTTTTCGACAGTAATAATTTTGTTTCATACCAGCAACGAAGAGAGCATGATCATTTCTAGAATTTTAACTTTCGACAATTTTATTGTTGACTTCCATTATAAAATTGGTGTCGAACTGGAAGCATTTTACCTTTTTTATTTTTGTTAGACATATGAAAACATTCCTTTTTACATTTAACTATAAAATAAATCAAACACTTTTGACGACATCAGCAAAAAGGTATTGTAGAATATCTTCTTCTTTGTTCTGGAAATGCTAGATGTACATCCAAAATCTGATCTAAATGACCTCGGATGTGAAATCGCTTCTCTCAATGTTGATGTAATTGTTTTACTGATAGGTTTTTTGAAGAGGGGTGTATAGTTTTATCAAGATTAGGTCTCTTTACGAAGGAAGTGTCGTATGCTGGGCTCCTGTTCATAGTTTTTGTAGATATTTGTCCTTCTAAATGCTCCTGAAAATGCAGAGATATAAAATTTGTAAGAAGGGATGCTTGTAGACGACGAACTTTAGTCTGTTTCGTATTATCTTGTATAAACTCCCTTTCTTGTGTTAGTTTTTCTGGTACTGTACAAATACGAGGAAAAATTAGTTTATCATTTATATTCCCAGATCAAATATCAGATCAAGATCTTATAAAATCTTATGGAAAATCACAGAAACGGATTCATCTTATAAAATCTTTTAAAAGTCATACAAGAATCTTACGAAATCTCACTTTAAGATCTTACATCAAGGATCAATTTCTATTTTTCTTACAGAATCTTAAGAAATCGTACATCGTGGATCTTATAAGATCTTACAGTGAGATTCTTTCACCTGGATTTTTCTAGATGAGTGACGTTCGAACAGATGGGCCACTCACAAATGGCACAACAAATGGCGTACATACAAATGAGAATGGAGAAGTAGCCCCTCCCTTGATTAATTTGAAACGTAAGTGCATACAAGAGGAAGCTACTATTTTTGTACTACATGGTTGCTTTCGATGATATTTTTAGCTGATACGCGAACGACAAATGGGACCGCAAGTTCTGCTGGTGTTGCTCCACCAGTAAGTTTGAGAAGCTTGTCTTAATAACTATTTTGATCTTTACGAATCTTGACTTTAGACTAAAAGTAAAGTTGTCGGTGGTGATCGTATGCAAGAAATGCTTAAACAAGCTAAAGCACTAAGAGATGAAAGACGTGCAACTGTAAGTTGATTAAATTTCCAAAACACTGTCAGTTTTCAATTTTAACTTCATTTTCAGTTGGATGCTCGACATGAATACATTTTTCAAAGATTGGCTGAAAACATTGGAATAGAACCATCACAAGTTGAGGACAATGTACTTGGTGATGAGAAAGTATGTGCGATGGGAGTGGAAGCAGACTACTTTTTATTTTGATATACTTTTGTCATTTTTAGTTTGATTTTATTGACGATTTCTTTTTGGCAAATGGTCGACGCGTTTTAATGTTTTATTATCAAGAACCAAAAGTAACATTATTGATCTTTCTTCTTCCGGTCGATACTCACTGAAACTATTGTTTCTTTCGAATTATTTAGAATCCAGAATTAAATCAGCCCACTTATACGGGGAGAATGACTACAACAGGCCCGAAAAAACGAGTGATTATCAGTAATGGTGATACAGTGGTATGTTAAGCCCATCATGACCGACTTTTAATATATTGTTCCTTTTTTTTGTTCAAAGCAATTAACCGGTTTTATGTACTACTTTATTCGTCCAAGTACAGGAAAAGGTATAACGCCAGCAAATATTGTTACTGAAGTTGTTTTTGGACAGCTTGATGCATCAAACGGAAAAATGCTTGAATCAATTGAACAACTGCTTGGAAACATACTAATACCATTATTACAGCAATATGAAGTAAGCGTTCTATAGTTTTCTGTGAAGAGAGTGCAAGTAGTGAGCGTCATCTATACTTTCCAACTCTAAACAACGAAGAGAAGTTTCTACTAGTTACAAAAGCGTGAATGGTGCAGTTTGCCGAATTAGTAGCAACTCGATAGAAAGTCGTCAAAAGCTCAAAAAAAGGCTTGCTTCCATTCTTTCACTTGACAGAACGAAGATGAAACAACTCAATATCCTATCGCACTTTCTTCTGCTGATGAAGACGTATTGCCCAAAATGTAAACTTCGAGATTGTGCCTAACCAGTCGTATTTTTGTATAGGATTGGGGTGCGTTAAAAAATCGAAGTAACCTTAGTGTACAAGATTTCCTCGATGCAATGAGTCAATTTGCAGCAACCGTGAATGGTGCCAGTGGTAATCTAGGTAAGTTTGGATTGCCTCAAACGCGAAGTTATTTCTTCGTTTTGTTCGAAAATACTAGATCCTAGTATTCTCGAACAAAACCCCAGATTAGAAAGCAATCAAATTTCCTTTCAGTGATAAGAAAACAGACAGAAGCCTATATAACAAAAACTTTAAGCTATTGCAGCATCCTTTCGATGCAAATCTTACCAGTTCACACACTACAATTTCTGATGGTGCTACACGATTATGCTCCTTTCTTAACCTTTTACTGTCTGCTGCACTTTTAGCACATCAAGTTAAATTAGCCACAGGTGATAATGACACCGTTCTCACGACGTTAGCAACGCCGAATGATTACCAAACTATGGCTCAAAATGGAGATTTCATTACCGAATGTGAAAAGCTTATGGATAAATGGTGTAAACAAATAGAAAAGGTTTGTTGGAAGCATACTGTGTACATTTACAAATGAGATATCTCTGATTTGATTTTAGATTTTGGCTGAAAGTGAACAAATTCGGCGGGAAGCTGATGATGTCGGACCATCAGCTGAATTAATTCATTGGAAACAACGTATGGCTACATTTAATAATCTTTTAGAACAAGTTAAATCTCCAAGATGTCGAGCTGTTGTCGGTGTTCTTCAATCATCAAAATCAAAAACAATTAGTCATTGGAAAGATCTCGTAAAGCATCAATCTTAATCTATTGTGGCATTTTTCTATTTTATATGATTTCGGTTACTGTAGGATGCCCGAATAACAGATGCAGCAAACGAAGCAAAAGATAATGTTCGATATTTGTACACATTAGACAAGTTTTTTTCAACGCTCGATAAAAATAGTCCGGTGAGTTAATATTCATGTAGATAGAGTCGCTAAGCTGATCTTAAACCTAAGTTCAGCGTCTATTTGACGATACAAAATTGGTCGAATAATCTTTTCCATAGTTTTTCAAAAACTCGCGGAAACGTAAACATTCATTCTAAGATTTCATGTGTGTTTTTTACTCTTTTATTTTATATTTCAGAATGCCATTGCTGAAAATATTCCAAGTCTGATGAATGCTATTCGTATGATCCACAGTATCTCCCAGTATTATAATTCCTCAGAACGTATGACATCTCTATTCGCAAAAATAACAAATCAAATGATAAATACATGTAAACGTTATATTCGCGACGGGAATTCACGTCTTTGGGATATACCAAAGTATGAACTTCTTTAATCTCTTTATCATATTTTAAAGCCTCGGGTGTTTTCTTCTGTTGTTATAGACAAGAGCTTGTTAATCGTATAAATGAAAGTAAAAAGTTAAACGAAGAATATCAATGCTATTTCCATAAGACGAAAGCAAAATTACATGAGTCAGCAAATGAACGACAATGGGATTTCAGGTATTTCTAAGAGCAAGATTGAGACATTTGTCTCACGTTGTCCCAGCAGAACAAGAACTGTTTCCTATTATTAATCTATAATACTTTATGCACATCAAAACGTTTGAGCAATGTTAGCTCTGATCAGATGACGTCTGTCTACTTTCTTAAACTGTGATTTATCTCTTTATGTTTTAGTGAAAATTATATCTTTGGCAAATTCGATACATTTTGTAAACGTTTGGATCGTATTGTCGATGTTTTAACTACAATTGAAAGTCTGAATGGATTGCAAAATATCCGAGTTGAAGGACTTGAACCAATCGTCGTCAAATATCGATCCGTCGTCGATGTAATTAAAAAGAAAACATATGATTTATTAGATCATCGAAAACAAGATGTATGTCCAGTGTCTGAGTCTCCTTTTTCAAAGCTAATTTTTGGAGTATTTTATTGTACTTTAGTTTGACAACGATTATACAGAATTTAAATCACAAATTGAATTTATTCAAACACAACTACAAAACTTTATTGATTCATGGTTCAGAAAGTCATACACGGTAAGGATGAAAAATTTGAAAATGAAAATTCAAAACGTTTTATCTGCACTATAGGTTGAACAGTCGCTGCTGTTTTTGGAAAAATTTCAAGATTTGGAAGGTGTTAAAATTGATTTTCAAGACAAGTATGGAAAATTAGTACAAAATTTTAGTAAAGAATTGGATACGGTAAGAATAGTTTTGTATGCTTAAGAACGTCATAAATAAGATCTTTTATCTCTGCTAAACGTAGAAAAATTATTTTTTACGAAAGGAGAAATCTGTAGTCTTTAGGTCTGCAAATATCAGTACCTATTTCTTCTTGACTGCAAGTACAATAATGTTATATAAAATCTTTAGGTTCGAAAAATCTATGAAAAAAACAAGGAAGATCCACCTGTAACTCGAAATCTACCGCCAACAGCCGGTCGTATTGTTTGGGCTCGTCAGTTATATCACCGAGTTAGCGTTCCAATCAAACTGCTAGAACAAAAAATGGATTTAAACAAGACCGATGATGGGAAAGTGCTAATTAAAAATTATAATAAAATTGCTGAAGCACTTTTACAATATGAAGTAAGTTGGCTGCTCTCTTAATCTTCCTAGTTCTTTACTTTTTTTGTGGCTTTTTTTAGTTATTATTTTATCGTAATTGGTGTCGTGGTATTGATTTGATTAAAAAAGGAATGCAATCAACGGTTCTGATTCGAAATCCAGAAACAAAAGAAGAACATGTTAATTCTGATCCACAAGTCCTGGAATTGATAAAAGATACACAATATTTAACAAAATTAGGTTTGGAAATTCCGGATAATGCATCGGTGTTATTAAGACAAGAAGAACATATTAGAAAGACAAGTGTTAATTTACAAGAAATGCTCAATACGATTAAACAGACATATGCATCAATACCAAAAGACATGTATACGTTGATGAAACCACATCGAGAAAAAGTTGAAGAAGCACTGAGACCGGGATTCGTGGCGATTACATGGTCATCGTTGAATGTCGAAGAATGTAAGTGCTGAAAGAACGGAAAACGAGAAAAAAAATCCACACTAATGAAAAGGATTTGTGGAAACTGAAATTTGAGCAGCTCAATGGTCTTTGAAGCTAGGCGGAGGCACTCATAAACGGGTTTTTGCTTTAAGAATTCCGCAAAGTCGCGAAAATCCATGTTCATGCAGAACCGGAGATAAGCTCTCGGCAGGCTGTGATATTTAGACAAACTGGACATAAAGATTTTTAGAATAAGCTAATAAATCCTAAAGTAATAGGTTAAACTGAACAATTACTATCCCTGCTTTTTGACGAAGCGCTGAAAATTGACTTTTCCACTAATTGTGTGTTATCAATATAGAATCGAGAGAAGTTACAGCTCTAAAGCAACTAGATTGTACAGCGAACATTTCTGATCAAAATGAGACGTCTCCCAACTCCAGGCAAAAGTTCCAACCAATTGTTAAGAATTTTAAATCGAAGCGCTAAAATATGCATTGTACACTAGCGCCACTTTATATCAAAAGCGAACTTCGGTCTCACACGATAGTTGCAGGATTTCTCCGTAACAGAGCGACACAAAGAGCTTGGATTGATCTTAAAATGAAGTCAGCACACGTGGCCAGAGGCTAATAGAGTCCGATTTTGAGACCCTCCCGAGCTGTTCACGACGCTTCGTTACCGAGGAACCTTGGAGCTACGGACAGCTCCATTTTGAGCGGCCTTGAGCTAGTTGAGCGACATGTCTGAAACCATGATAGATGACTTCGCCAAAATTTTACGGAAAGAGTATAATCATAAGGTAAACATCTCCTTAAAGTTGGGTCCAGATCAGAGTTTTAGTTACCGAGATACGTTTCTGGCGAGGAGTGGGATCTTAATTAATAGTAGTATATGCTAATCTATTGCTGTTCTATTTTAGATATACATAACGTTCAGCTTGAACTTGAACAGTTACGAATTTTGATCAATGATTGCCAAGACATCCTGCAATATCGTATCGATAGTACACTTCAAACCATTGCTGAAACTCAGTTGTGTGAAACTCAACAGGATCCAGTTACCCTAGATGAATTTTCAAAACTAACCGATGAATCATGTCAAGTAGCTATACAGTTAATTACCAAACAAACGAATTTATGTGAAAAAGCTGCACATTATTTGTTGGAAATATTGAAAAAACGTTTGAAACCTAGTGAACAAGCACAGATTAAAGAAAATGATCAAGAATATTATGAATGTGCGCTGAAATCTGTTTTGAGCACAAAAGGAAGCCGATGTAATGAATGTCAACCGTGTTCATTCTTTAATTTTTTAACAACGTATTGGAATAAAAATATCGACGCACATATACAATGTAAGTCTCGGATCATTTTTCTTGATCTTTGAACGCTAAGAGTTTTTTTATTATCTTGTTTGTACAGGTACACGAAGTTCTTTGGAAACCATACGTAAACGTCTACAACAACCGATACGTTATGTTGGTGAACAAGTTATTAGAGAACAAGTTAAAAATCCGCTCTTTCGTACTGATATCATTCTGTCAATTCCAAATGTTTTGGTCAAACCAAGTTTGGATGATATGCAATCTCAATTGAATAAATCAGCACATACAATACTAAAAATTGGACAGGATGTACCGGAATGGCACCATGCTCAAAAATTAAAAGAACTTGTTATCAAGGTTCGTATATATTACAATCAGGTTACACAGGAGAAATAAAAAGAACTGGCAACTTTTCAGGAACCTATCCTAGGCGAAGAATCTCGAAATGTAACCTTGTAGCATCACACTACAAGACACCATAAGATTTCACAAGATCTTACAAGATACTTACCGTTATCGCATAAACTAAGCTACATTGTAGCTCTTTTTTTGTGTTATGAATTTACTCCGTTTAATTCAGAGAGAGAGAGAGAGAAACCGCGAACAACTATAGAAACATATATTTAGAGTAAATGAGTGCCAATTAGTTTCTATTTCCGAAAGGATCGACTGTATCTACGAACTTGTATCTCTATTAACTGTGCATGTTCTTTCACTTGTGATGGTAATTTCAAAATAGACCATTTGTTATCTATTAGACGTTATCTCTTTTTTACCTTTCATTATTAGGAAATTGAAAAACAAGCATTGGATGAAGGTGAAGATGTTAAATTAGCTGTACAAGCCAAAGCGCCCAAACCATTACACAAAGTAAAAAGCCATTTTTACGATTTATCTATTAACTTAACTCATCTTCCATCTTTGTTTGCAGATCATTGCTGAAAACAACGATGTTAAAAAAGTTGTGCTGTCACTCAATTCAGCTATAAGCACATTTAAACCAGATGTGCAGGATATGATGAAAAATTTTACGGGATTTGCTGAGCTGTGGGAAAAAGTACGTAGTCAGCTTTCGTTCGATCTTGGAATTGAAGACAGACATTTTTACTTTCTGTTTCTATAGGAACTAGAAACAACTGTAAAAACCTTTATGGAATCCAAACCACTTATGGTTGATTTTGAAGCATTGTTTAAACATTATCGTCGAATGGAATCTGATATTGATGAATTTCCTCAATCATTTCAAGTTGGCTCGATTGTGTTTTATACTGACAATCTTAAACGTGGGCTCAAAACCGAAATCAATAACTGGAAAACAGCGTATGCCAAAGCGCTGAATGACAAAGCTTCACAAGATATGCAAATGATATTTGATAAAGTTGAAGACATACAGAAACGTTTGACACGACCTTGTAAAGATCTTGACGATGTTCGAGCACATATGAATGCATTAGCCGAAATTCGACAGAATGAAATTTTGATTGATCAGACAATAACCCCGATCGAAGAAACATACGGGATGTTGAATAAATATGAAATATCGTTCAATGACGGAAACCCAGAACGGGTGGATACATTGCAATATGCATGGAAAAAATGTTTACAACAAGGAAAAGAAGTACAATCACATTTGTTGGATATACAACCACAGTTTAAGCAAAATTTACTTGATAACGTGACCATATTTCAGCAAGATGTTATAAACTTTGTCGATGATTATGCCAAAAAGTGAGAAAAATCTCTTGTTACTTCTACGGATTACCTAAACTTCTTACTCTTTTACAGAGGTCCAATGGTTCGCGGTACGCCGCCCCGAGAAGCAAGTGACCGAATGACGATTTATCAAGCAAAATTCGATGAATTATGGAGAAAATTCGAAACATACAGTGCTGGTGAAGATCTATTTGGTTTACCAGTTGCTGACTATCCCGATTTAGCCAGAATTAAACGAGTGAGTGTTATTTTATTACCGGCACTAAGAATTTAAAGTTCACCTAGACTTAAAAACATCTCAGGTTCCACCACATTTCTCTAGTATTCTTTCGGAGAGCAATTATTTGGGTTCCGTGTATCATACCTGGACAATATAGCTCAGTAACCTTTTTAGGAACTCGGTTTATTACAAAAACTGTATGGTCTGTATAATATTGTCATTGACACGATAAATGGCTATTATGATATTCCATGGGTTGACGTCGACATTGAGAAAATCAACAGCGATTTATTGGATTTCCAAAACAGATGTCGAAAATTGCCAAAAGGTCTAAAAGAGTATCAAGCGTTTGAAGAATTGAAGAAAACAATTGGTAATTAATTACTTCTCTTTCTGGTAATCGGTAATATATATATATAAATCTCTATGTTTATAGATGATTTCAATGAAACCTGTCCGCTACTTGAAATGATGGCAAATAAATCGATGAAACCACGACATTGGGAACGAATTGCAAATCTAACCGGGCATAAATTTGATATTGAATCAGATAATTTTCTGTTAAAAGATATCATGGCAGCACCGCTTTTGAAATACAAAGAAGATATTGAAGTTAGTTTCTACTATTTTTAATTGAGTGATAATCCTACACTGTTCACAGAATGACACTTTCCTATTCCATGAAAATTGAAAATATACAAGCATAAAGCGAGATATATCATGTATTCATATATTATATTTATATTTTCATTTCATCTCAAAAGAGGTTTTATATGTGTCTGTAGATATCGTAACACGATCCTACCACAAGCGGTATTTACACAAATCGCAATTTTCACAAACTTTTTAAGAACAGGAATTTAAGCATTTTTCAAACACAGACACACTTTCAAATCTATTTGAGAGTGTGTGAGGGATATGTGTACGGGTGAGGGAATATGGAAGCAGTGTGATAGTGAGTTCAAAAAGCAGCTTCGTAGTAAGGGTAGTTGCATGACTAGTTATAATAACTTACTTCAACGGGAATTGAAATTAAGCATATAGTTTTGATTTGTTGATAAGTGATCCAAAGTTTGCCTTACCTAATCCAAGAGTGGTAGGGTAACGTGAGAAAGTTTATTCGAATTTCGTAGCATGGTCTATATATATATACATACTGTTTTCTTTCCTTTAGGATATTTGTATATCAGCCATAAAAGAAAAAGATATTGAAGCTAAACTGACACAAGTCGTAGCCGACTGGGGAAACCAAAATTTTACATTTGCATCATTTAAAAATCGTGGTGAACTGCTGTTGAAAGGTGATGCAACCAGCGAAGTTATTGCTTTGATGGAAGATTCATTGATGGTTTTGGGCTCGCTAATGTCAAATCGTTATAATGCTCCATTTAAAAAGAAAATTCAAGAATGGGTTCAAAAGTTGACATCTACAACGGAAATTATTGAAAAATGGATGAGTGTACAAAATTTATGGATTTACTTGGAAGCTGTTTTTGTAGGTGGTGATATTGCTAAACAATTACCAGCGGAAGCAAAACGTTTTGCAAATATTGATAAATCATGGCAAAAGATAATGACACGAGCACATGAAAATTTGAATGTTGTGAGCTGTTGTACGGCGGATGACACCCTGTCTCAGCTGCTACCTCATCTATTTGAACAATTAGAATTGTGTCAGAAGTCACTAACAGGCTATCTGGAAAAGAAACGACTGGTATTTCCAAGGTTCTTTTTTGTTTCCGATCCAGCATTGTTGGAAATTTTGGGGCAAGCGAGTGATTCACATACCATACAGGTAAGACTGGAGATATAGGACATATGATTGTGAAACGGACAATAGGACTTAGAAATAAACAGAACCATTTTCCCTACTTTCCGATGCTTGATAAACGCCAGCATACGTCCTTTCTTAAAGACCCATTCTATTCCTTCGGTTTAAAAGTCTTTTTAAAAAACCTATATTTATAAGTGGCTTGTGTTAATAGTTACGAGCGTTTATTACACGTTTTATCGATAAACATAGCTGAACGGTCTTGGTAAAACTATTTTTTTCTTTGCATATTATAGAATCATTTATTGAGTGTATTTGATAATACGAAAACGGTTACATTTGATGACAAAATATACGATAAAATCTTGGAAATTAATTCACAAGAAGCTGAGATGGTTCCACTGAAAGAACCAGTTATGGCACAGGTACATCTTTCTCCATATTAGTTGTACACTCTAATAACACTTGCTCGTTTTGTAGGGTAATGTTGAAGTATGGCTTGGTGATCTACTGAAAGTATCTCGTGCATCCATTCATAAAATTATACGTGATGCAGCAATTGCCATACAAGATCCTCAATTTAATTTAATAGATTTTATCGGTAGTTTTCCAGCACAGGTAACTTCGATGTTCTTTTAGTCGTATTTGCAGTAACCACTGTTTGGTTCGTTTATTGTTTTGATCAGGTTGGTTTAATTGGTATACAAATGCTCTGGACACGCGATGCTGAAATTGCCTTGAATAATACGAAAATAGACAAGAAAATTATGCAAGATACAGCTAAGAAATTTCTCGATATTTTAAATGCACTGATTAATAAAACAACGGAAGATATGTCGAAATCTGATCGAACTCGACTTGAGACACTAATTACAATACACGTGCATCAAAAAGATATTTTTGATGATTTAGTATGTCCTAATTATGCGTTCTCAAATGCCACTTGTCTTGAAATCTTGTGCACTTGTTGTATAGGTTGCAAGCAAATGTCGTTCACCATTGGAATTTGACTGGCTGAAACAATGTCGATTCTATTTTGACGAGGATGCGGATGTCTGCCGTGTATCAATTACCGATGTAGATTTTAAATATATGAATGAATATTTAGGCTGTACTGATAGATTGGTCATAACACCATTAACAGACAGGTACGCGAGAAAATCTTCTACACGGCTTTTTGAAGGACAAATTCGAGTAACCAAATATTTGTAGAGATCAAGGAAGTTTATGTGTTTAGATGTTACATAACAATCGCTCAAGCCTTACACATGTCCTTGGGTGGCGCACCAGCCGGTCCAGCTGGAACGGGAAAAACGGAAACAGTTAAAGATATGGGTCGATGTTTGGGCAAATATGTTGTTGTATTTAACTGTTCAGATCAAATGTAAGTAATATGAACAAGTAAAAAAAGGCTGCAAAATGCGTATTCTTCGTTTCAGGGATTATCGTGGCTTGGGAAGAATATTCAAGGGCTTGGCACAATCTGGCTCGTGGGGTTGTTTTGATGAATTTAATCGAATTGATTTGCCTGTTTTATCTGTAGCTGCTCAACAAATCGATATTGTTCTACGATGTAAAAAAGAAAAGAAAACACAATTTATTTTCATGGATGGAGATGTAGTAGATATGGATACAGAATTCGGACTGTTTTTAACGATGAATCCTGGCTATGCTGGTCGACAAGAATTGCCAGAAAATTTAAAAATTAACTTTCGTACAGTCGGTAAGTTTCCGTTTTCTTTTTCTCGAGCCCGGGCGGTGATACAGAAATGACACTAGGTTTATTTGAAAACCGATTAGATATAGAAGAGGGGGGGAGGACGGCTTGGAAATTGTTTGACATTAACGTTTTTTGGACAGGCTGCCTAAAATTCCTTTCTGTATGTGACTCTACACGTCTGTTTTTTCTTTCTTTTAAACAGCAATGATGGTACCAGATCGTGCTATTATAATGCGTGTTAAACTGGCTAGCTGCGGTTTCATAACCAACGTTAAATTATCGAAAAAGTTTTTTACACTATATAAACTATGTGAAGAACAGTTAACAAAACAAGTTCGTAACCGCTTTCTGAGTGTATTTCTCATACCTGGCCAGAGTGGAATACATCTCGAAAAAACTAGAGCGAGTTCAAAGATATCATTTCTTACGCAAGACGATCTTTTAAACTTGTACGGCTATGAATGAATGTTTCACATTTTTAGGTTCATTATGATTTTGGTTTGCGAAATATTTTATCGGTGTTGCGAACATTAGGTGCATTTAAACGTGAAAATCCAACTGATTCAGAAGATAAAACAATGATGAGAGTATTACGTGATATGAATCTGTCTAAACTGGTAAGTTTCAGTGTAATTTGAGGAATACAATCTCACGATTCGAATCATCATAGATCGATGAAGATGAACCATTGTTTATGTCTTTGATTGACGATCTGTTTCCCGGTATTCAACTAGAATCAAAAGGCTATCCAGAAATTGAAGCGGCTATAAAAACACAGGTTTGCATCTAGAAATTCTTCTATAATTGTTATTTATACTCTGTTCTTCTTCACTAGACTGATTTAGCTCAACTTGTGCATCATCCACCCTGGGTACTAAAATTAATTCAACTGTACGAAACCCAACGTGTTCGACACGGTATGATGGCATTGGGGCCATCGGGCGCTGGAAAATCAAAATGTATTGCAACCTTGATGAAAGCAATGACAGAATGTGGTGCTCCTCATCGAGAAATGCGTATGAATCCAAAAGCCATTACAGCACCACAAATGTTTGGTCGGCTCGATGTGGCAACAAATGATTGGACAGATGGAATATTTTCAACACTGTGGAGACGAACGTTGAAAACCAAAAAGGTACTACGTTTTTTATTATTCTGGTAATTGTTTCTGTTCTATTGTATATTAAACATATGTGCTGGATCTCGCACTCAAAGTTCCGCTTCTACCTCTGTAATCATTCTTCTACACATACTAAATGCTGTTTCCGTAGATCTTTCAATCAACTTTTGCGAGCAACTAATATTAGAGCAAATCGTTCCCCTGACTGACGCTCTGCTGTCTTTTTCTCGGAAGAAGTGATTTTCTACCAAGATTACAGAGAGCAAAAAGTACTGCATACGTAATTCAAATTTAGTTGTTCTTTCAATCTGCCATGCTCTTTCGCACGAGAAGTTCTGTCATAAACATGGAAACAATTTCTTTTTATTCCTGTTTTAGGGAGATCATGTGTGGTTAATCTTGGACGGCCCGGTCGACGCAATTTGGATCGAAAATTTAAATTCCGTATTGGACGACAGTAAAATTTTGTGTTTGGCAAACGGTGATCGTATCCCAATGGCTCAGAATTGTAAAATTATCTTTGAAGTACATAATATTGATAATGCGTCACCAGCTACCGTGTCACGGAATGGAATGGTTTTCATGTCGTCATCGGTTATGACATGGGATCCCATTGTTAGAGGTTCGCATTAAAAATAAACACAGAAAAGTACAAAAAAGCAGTTTTTATTCGTATTTAGGTTGGCTATTGAAACGACCAGCAAGCGAAACCGATATTCTGTTGGATTTATATACAAAAACATTTCCAGATGCATTGGCTTATGTTATGCAGTCACTCGAACCAAAAATGCCGGTAGGTTTCAAAAGAGAGAAATGCCGTTTCTTAATAATCTGTTGGAGAATAAAAAACATAAAGAAACACTTCGATATACATTAGGCCAAGATGAAAGAATGTGTCTTGTTCTCCTTTTAGATTCTGGAATGTATGTATGTGAAACAGTCACTTGACCTGTTGGAAGGTCTGATTAATAAAGATAAGCCACCAGCACCCGATGTACTCGCTCGCTATTATGTATTTGCACTGATGTGGTCCGTTGGTGCCCTATTAGAGCTGTTCGATCGAAAAAAATTAGAAGATTTCTTAGTAGCAAAGAAAGTTTTAGATTTGCCACCCTTCAAAGTATGTGTTTAATTTTAGTATATGCTATTTGTTTTCTTATCTGATTTGCCTTCTGTTAGTCGGATGAAACAATCTTTGAATATGTTGTGGGTGAGAATGGAAAATGGGAACATTGGTCAAAACTCGTACCAGAATATATCTATCCAAAGGACAGTATTCCCGAATACTCATCAATTCTTGTTCCTAATGTTGATAATGTTCGAACTGATTTTCTCATACATACAATAGCTAAACAAGAAAAAGCTGTTCTGTTAATCGGTGAACAGGTAAGACAGAGTGTTTGCATTTAGAAAGAAACTGTAAATTATTTTCATTTTAGGGTACGGCAAAAACTGTTATCGTCAAAAGTTATTGTTCGAAATACGATCCAGAAGTACAATCTTTTAAATCTGTTAATTTTTCAAGTGCAACAACAACCGGCATGCTACAGGTAAACTTTTAACAGGATTCGAATACCATTGCAAGCTGTGAATGCGAATTTGTCACACTGCAAATGCGACAAAACTCTGAAAACTTACGATCATCTCCAAGCAGGTGGCAAAAAAAACCTACATCTGTGCTATTTTTTGTTCTTGTAGAGAACCATTGAATCTTATGTTGACAAACGTGTCGGCACAACCTACGGTCCACCAGGAGGAAAGAAAATGACAGTGTTTATTGACGACATTAATATGCCCGTTATCAATGAATGGGGTGATCAAGTAAGCATTTTATTCTTTTTTTTGCCGAACATGTAGCTACAAATAAAGCTTCTTCTTATTTTCTTAAGGTAACAAATGAAATAACGCGCCAAGTTATGGAACAGAATGGGTAAGTTACTACGACTTTTTTCGTCATTTTGAGACGCGCTTTATGGTTTCTTTTACTGAAAATCTTGTGGTTTCAGTTACTGAGACGTAGCTGTTTAGTTAAATCTACAAACTTATGCTCCGGAACGAGTCAGCTATGAGGACATACAATACAGTTTACATAAGCGCGCTAGTAGAGTGCAATATTAATCTGTTCCATTTTTTCTCCCTTTAGGTTTTATAATCTCGAGAAACCGGGTGAATTTACAAACATAGTCGATATACAATTTATTGCTGCGATGATTCAACCGGGCGGTGGTCGTAACGACATACCACAGCGTTTGAAACGACAATTTTCTATCTTTAATTGTACACTTCCATCAAATGTCTCCATTGACAAAATCTTTAGTACAATTGGTCTTGGATATTTTTCCAAAGTAAGTTTCTTCTATCTCTTCTTTTTTTTGTAAGATGAACTTGGTCTTTTTTAATAGGAACGTGGATTTAATCAAGATGTTGTTAATCTAATTGATAAACTTGTACCGGCTACACGAAAACTATGGCAAAAGACAAAAATTAAAATGTTACCGACGCCGGCTAAATTTCATTATATTTTTAATCTTCGTGATCTCTCAAGGATATGGCAGGTATGTACAAAAAAGGAACAAACGGATAATAAGAGAAAATGAATGTTGTACCTATGATTTTAGGGCATGTTAAATGTCACGTCAGACGTAGCTGGTCAAAAACCCGACGTTATTATGTCGCTATGGAAACATGAATGTTACCGAGTCATTGCTGATCGGTTCGTATCGCAAGAAGACAAGGACTGGTTTGAAAAAACATTGAAAATAGTTGCCGAAGAAGGTTTGTTTGCAGTTCTGTTTCACTGTCTGTAACTGGTAACTACTTTTGTGGTGTTCTTTTTGTGTTTAGAATGTGGTACAGCTAATGCAGGTATAATGTCACAAGAACCGTATTTCGCTGATTTCCTTCGCGAAGCACCAGAAGCAACTGGTAAGTGTTTCTTTTTTGTGTTTATTTATTTCTGATGATTATTTTTAATTCGAATCATTTTAGGTGAAGAAGGCGAAGATGCTGATTTAGAAGCACCAAAAGTCTATGAACAAATACCGTCGTTTGAAGCTTTGGCCGAAAAACTTGAACAATATCAGCAACAATATAATGAATTAGTCAAAGGTGGAAAAATGGATTTAGTATTTTTCAAAGATGCAATGTGCCATTTAATTAAAATTTCAAGAATTATTCGAACTCCACGGGGTTGTGCGCTACTAGTCGGAGTTGGTGGAAGCGGTAAACAGTCGCTGACACGATTGGCTTCGTTCATTGCCGGTTATCAAACATTTCAAATAACATTGACAAGGTAAACAGTTTTTTTATCAATTTGACGTTACACAGCTCGAAGTCATATTCTCGTAGCTTCTGCTGAATATTTTACTAGTACATTTCCTCAAGTGACTGTCGTCTTAAACTAAGCTACATGGTCCGTATGATAACGGTCTTAAAAAACATGCCGGACGTCCACAAACGGTTCTCGAAAACTGAGAATGACAAATAATGATCTCGAAGGGAGGAGATGCATGGCTAAGAGATAAAATTATGTAAATATTTTGAACCATATATGAAATGAAGTACAGACTGCTACTCTGACGATTGGTAAATCAATTTTCTTTAGTGCTAGCTCCTCACCACTTCACTAGCAGAAAATGGATTACATTATATGGTATGAGCGATGTCACCCAGATCCATGAAGCTCATGAGCAGGTGGTCTTAAATAAAAGACTGGGTTTTAATTAATCCACAACGTATCATATGAGGTGCTCTAGTCTCCCATAGGAAAACTTGTGCGTTATAGCAGAATCTAGTTTTCTGAATTACGCAATTTTGTTGCATATCGTCTTTGTTTATGCTAAGGTATTTCTATTCTTTGTTCTCCATTACAGATCGTACAATGTAACAAATTTAATGGAGGACCTTAAAAATTTATTTCGTATTGCTGGCCAAAAAGGCAAAGGTGTTACGTTTCTATTTACGGATAACGAGATCAAAGACGAAGCATTTCTTGAATATATGAACAATGTGTTGGCTTCGGGTGAAGTATCAAACTTGTTTGCCCGTGACGAAATCGATGAAATCCTCGGTGAACTGACACCGGTTATGAAACGTGAATTTCCAAAACGTACACCAACAAACGAGAATTTATATGATTATTTTCTAACGCGTGTACGAAGCAATCTTCACGTTGTACTTTGCTTTTCGCCAGTCGGCGAGAAATTTCGTAGTCGATCATTGAAATTTCCGGCGCTGATTTCTGGTTGTACAATGGACTGGTTTCAACGGTGGCCAAAAGATGCACTGATTGCCGTATCAAAACATTTTATCGGAAATTTTGAAATGGTTTGTACGCCACAAGTTAAACAAGAAGTATGTGCTGGTTATTTGTAACAAAGAGAAACTATAAATTTCTGAATACTTTTAGCTTACAATGATGATGGGTGAAATTCAAGATCAAGTAGCCGAAGCTTGTGTCGATTATTTCAACCGTTATCGTCGTCAGACACATGTTACACCAAAATCATATCTGTCCTTCTTAGCTGGTTATAAAAGTATTTATACAGACAAACGAAAAGAAATCGGAAAATTAGCTGAAAGAATGAACACAGGTAAAAAAATGCAACAAAAAGATGAATAATAGATGCTTTCGTCAGAAGTTGATATACGTGCGTTTTACTTTTATTTTATGTCTGCAACTTACACAAAAAGCGAATACTGAGAGTCGTTCATTATTTGTTCAAAATCTCGATTTCAGACAAATTTACAATCTTCGTCGGCTCCTCCTATTTACCTATTTTTGAAACTTTGGACATATATCAAGTTATGAGAAACTAACTAGTTCCAATGTTAGTGCTTAAAATCCCACCATAATTCATCCTCTACTGCTACAGGCTCCTTTTCTCCATATTTTATCATTATGCGTTGCATTGCTGCGACAGGCAACATGCCTGACCTGAGCAGCTACCAGTAGAAAGCGACTATTTCTGAGAAAATAGAAAATACTAGCATCGAAAGATTTTGTTTTTTGATGTTTTGACTTATATCAGTTTCCTCGAGGAGCATCATCAGAGATGAACGAGTAGTGTTGTAACCGCTCAGATAGATGCAAGGTCATTTATCTCATTGTATGAATCATTTTCATTGTTCTAGGTTTGAAAAAACTGATTGAAGCAGCTGTTCAAGTAGCTGAATTAGCTAAAGAACTTGAAGTTAAAGAAAAAGAATTGCTAGTTGCAAATCAAAAAGCTGATCTAGTTATGCAAGATGTAAATGTTAAAAAAGCAGCGGCTACAAAAGTTGCTGACCAAGTTCAGAAAGTTGCTGATGCATGTAAACGATTGGTTGATCAAATATCTGCGGATAAAGCTATAGCTGAAGGAAAATTGGAAGTAGCACGACCAGCACTGGAGGAAGCCGAAGCAGCATTGAAAACCATAAAACCAGCTGATATATCGACAGTTAAAAAACTTGGAAAGCCACCTCATTTGATTATGAGAATTATGGATTGTGTTGTAATCCTATTTCAAAGATCAATGGATCCAATATCAATGGATCCGGAGAGACCGTGTCCGAAGCCATCATGGGGTGAAGCATTAAGACTAATGGGTCAAAGTGATTTTCTAAACAGTTTAGTCAATTTTCCAAAGGTATGTTGCATATCATCTACCTACCTTCATGGTTAAAAAGAAGAATTGATTTTAGGATACAATTAATGAAGAAACAGTTGAACTATTACAAACCTATTTGCAGATGGAAGATTTTAATTTAGAAACAGCAAAACGTGTTTCAGGAAATGTAGCTGGCTTATGTTCATGGGCACAAGCAATGGCTTATTTCTATGGAATTAATAAAGAAGTTTTACCGTTGAAAGTATGTATCTGTACCCTTCTGAATATATGCCGGCAAAATGCGTGCTTCAGGTGGAAAGTGCTGCCTTTAATCTTATGTACATTAACCTGTCAAAGAGTCTCATTCGCACTTTAGTTGATAATGAATTTTTTTATGGTGTTTGCAACGTCAGAGGTAGATACTGGGATAAATATTCCACACGGACTTAGTTCTAAGGAAAAAGCTACTATCACCAGACTAACATTGCGATATTCAAATCAGAAATAAATAAGAGCAAGATAGAGCCACACTTTACGACCGCAGCCATTGAAGAGCTTTTGTTCTTGCGAATCATTTGACTATTTGCGCATTTAAGGCTAATTTGGCAGTCCAAGAAGGACTCCTGAGTAAAGCCACAGCTGATTACAATGCAGCTCAAGATCAATTGGCAGCTAAAATGGCAGAAGTAGCGGTTGTCCAAGCTGAATTTGATAAAGCAAATGCAATTAAACAGGTACGCTTCTTAATTATTCTTGTCTTCCGTCTCATCTCATTTCTCTGTGCTATTTCAGACATTGTTAGCCGAAGCTGATGCTTGTCGACGAAAAATGCATAATGCTTCGGCATTGATTGATGGTTTGTCCGGGGAACGAGTTCGATGGACAGAAGCATCGAAAAATTTTGAAGCCCAAATAAATCGACTGATTGGCGATGTCCTATTAGCAACCGGGTTCTTGTCTTATACTGGACCGTTTAATCAAGAATTTCGAACGATCTTGTTGAAACAATGGAAAACGGATATGATTAAACGAAAAGTTCCATTCACGGAGGATTTGAATATCGTTTCATTTTTGGTTGATAGTGCAACAATTTCAGAATGGAATTTACAAGGATTGCCAAATGATGAACTATCAATTCAAAACGGGTTGATTGTTACATCGGCAGCAAGATTTCCATTGTTAATGGATCCCCAAGGTCAAGGAAAAGCCTGGATTCGCAATAAAGAAGGCGCAAACGATTTACAAGTAAGTATCCGAAATTAAGCTTCAATACTGCGTAGAATCAGCAATAGTGTTTGGTTAGAATCTGTAGAATTATACGTTAGTTAAAGTATGTTATACAGAAAATATCGTAGACACATTCTTTATTGGAGTGCCCGTAAGTTTCATCATCACAGAGAATGAAAACTAAAAGGAAGTTTTATTTGGATTAAAAACTCGACTACTATGTGACCGGCCCGCAATAAAACTTGTTTTTTATCTTTAGATCACAACGTTGAATCATAAATATTTCCGTACACATTTGGAAGATGCTCTGTCACTCGGACGTCCGTTGATGATTGAAGATGTTGGAAATGATCTGGATCCGGCTCTTGATAATGTTTTAGAAAAAAATTATATTAAATCTGGTTCAACATTGAAAGTAAAAGTAGGTGATAAAGAATGTGATGTTATGAACGGGTTTAAATTGTATATAACAACAAAATTGCCAAATCCATCCTATACACCAGAAATTTATGCTAAAACATCCATTATTGATTTTACGGTAACAATGAGAGGCTTAGAAGATCAGCTGTTGGGCATTGTAATACAGAAAGAAAAAGCGGTACGTTAGAATTTTTTATTTCACATATTGGAGTGTTATTTCTTTTTGCACATACAGGAATTGGAAGCAGAACGTACACGTTTAATGGAAGAAGTAACATCGAATAAGCGTCGTACAAAAGAACTAGAAGATAATCTACTATATCGTTTGACATCAACTGAAGGTTTGTCTTTATCGTTTTATATTTTTGAGTCCAGCACTAATTGGTATCTTTCTATTATTTTCTTTCAGGTTCTTTGGTTGAAGATGAATCATTGATTCAAGTCTTAGCCGATACAAAGGCTACATCGAAAGAGGTGAATGAAAAACTCACAATTGCTGCTGAAACTGAAATAAAAATCAATGCAGCTCGTGAAGAATTTCGTCCTGTTGCCACACGTGGTTCAATCGTTTACTTTTTAATTGTTGAAATGTCAATGGTTAATGTTATGTATCAAACCTCGTTGAAACAATTTTTGGGCTTATTTGAAAGCGGGCGGTATGTGTCCCTTATCTGTATGTGTAAGTCATCTACCCTGCGTTTTTTTCTTCAGACACAAAGCTCAACCATCTCCAATCACTGTTAAACGTATTCAAAACATTATTGATTCACTCACGTATGAGGTATGGAAATATTGTGCCAGAGGTTTATATGAACGAGACAAAACATTGTACACATTACTGTTAGCATTAAAAATTGATATGCAAAAAGGAAATGTTAAACCATCTGAATTTCAAGTATTAATCAAAGGTAAAGTTCATCTGGATACAGAGTTACTACTAAAGAACCGATCAAAAAATCGCCACCTTCAAGACAGAGAGTAATAACCACTGCTTTTAATTCACGCTGTTTGTCGCAAAGTTTTGCGAAAATGAATGTATTATTTTGTTCACCATTCCGAGCTGTTTACACCCATGTGTCGTAGCTAACTACAGGCTAAAAAGGCATGCAGTTCTTACAGTGGTCACTCTGTTTCGAAAGGAGATTGAAAATGAGCTCTACGTTTTTAGGTGGTGCTGCATTGGACATGAACGCTGTTGAACCACGTCCTGAGAAAATGAAGAAATGGCTGACCGATATGACATGGTTAAATTTAGTTGAATTATCAAAATTAGCACATTTTTCTCAAGTTCTGAGACAGGTTGTTGGCAACGATAAAACATGGTATCAATGGTATCTTTCAGATGCACCAGAAGAAGTACTATTTCCAGAAAGCTATTCAACAAGTTTAGATACATTTAAAAAATTATTATTAATTCGTTCATTTGCTCCGGATCGAACATTGCCCATGGCTAAGAAATATATCGGCGAATCACTGGGTCCTCAGTTTGCTGAAGGTTATATCCTGAATTTGGAGGCAATGTGGCAAGAATCAGATAAAAGAACGCCGCTCGTATGTTTTCTGGCAATGGGATCAGATCCGACGGATAACATTTTGAGTTTGGCTAAAAAACAAAATATCACCTGTGGAACAATTTCAATGGGCCAAGGGCAAGAAGTACATGCCCGACGACTGTTGCAACAATCACAGCAGGAAGGCAAATGGATTTTGCTACAAAACTGTCATTTGGGTCTAGGATTTCTTGAAGAACTCCTGGAAAGCATTACAACAACGGAACAAGTAAATGACGTGTTCAGATGTTGGTTAACAACTGAACCACATCCACAATTTTCAATCAATGTGCTTCAGTCCTCAATTAAATACACATCTGAACCACCACAGGGTGTTAAAGCCGGTCTTAAACGAACATTTAATGGTCTGTCACAGGTGTGTTATTTTAATCTTCTTATCTTTGTCGTGACTGATGGAGCAAAACGTACTCTCCCTCTGCCTTCTCAAAGTAAGCGAAAACGACGGGAAAAAACACATAGAAGAAGGATAAATGTAAATTTACTAACTTTCATTTAGTTAATCTCTCAAGGATTCCATCCGGTCTATCTACTTACGTTTTTAAATTGAACGCTGAGCAAAGCTATCTGTTCATACCGACATATTCTATCTTTTGTGTTGCAGGAAGTTGTTGATGTAAGTGCATTTATTGAATGGAAAGTCATATTGTTTGCTGTGGCTTTCTTGCATACAACTGTCCAGGAACGACGAAAATTTGGTCCACTGGGCTGGAACATTCCGTATGAATTTAATCAATCGGATTTTTCAGCTACAATTCAATTTATTCAAAATCATATGGATGAAATGGGCTCGAAATGGAATGTTTCTTGGCCAACCGTACGATATATGGTCGGTGAAGTGTAAGTTATCAAAGTGTCCTATGTTGCACATAGATATAATGTTCTAAGTGTATTTAGACACTACGGCGGCCGAGTCACCGATGATTTCGATAAACGTCTGTTGAATACATACACTCGTGTTTGGTTTTTGGACAATATGTTTACAGATAAATTTGAATTTGCTCCGAATTACAAGATTCCACGTTGCAAAACAATCGTTGAATTCCGTAATCATGTTGAAACAATGAGTCTATTTGATAGCCCGAGCGTGTTCGGCCTGCATCCGAATGCCGATATAACATACCAAACGAATACGGCCGATAGTATTTTATCTACAATCGTTAACATTCAACCGAAAGATGCTGGTGCTGGTGGCGGTGAAACTCGAGAAGCCGTTGTCTATCGTCAATCTGATGATATGCTTTCGAAATTGCCCGAAGATTACATACCACATGAAGTGAAACAAGCTCTACAGAAACAAGGTGCACTACAACCATTGAACATTTTCTTGAGACAAGAAGTCGATCGAATGCAACGTGTAATAACTGCTGTACGAAATACATTGAAAGATTTGAAACTGGCTATTGATGGTACGATCATTATGAATGAAAATCTGAAAGATGCCTTGGATAATATCTATGATGCTCGTGTACCGGCTACGTGGAAAAAAATTTCATGGGATTCGGCTACACTCGGGTTTTGGTTTAGTGATCTGTTAGATCGAAATCAACAGTTTCACACATGGCTGTTCAACGGGCGACCGAATGCGTTTTGGTTAACGGGATTCTTTAATCCACAAGTATGTAGAAGTTTTAAAACAGATAACTTTTGTTAAGTTGCGTGAATTCTCTCTAGGGTTTCCTCACAGCAATGAGACAAGAAATAACACGTAATCACAAAGGTTGGTCGTTGGATAATGTCGTGCTGGCAAATGATGTGATGAAAATGATGATGAAAGAAGAAGTAATACAAGCGCCATCGGAAGGTAAGACAATACGAAGAAAATCATTGGCATTTACCTCTAAGTTAGGACCTTGAGTTACTAAGAAAACTAGCTTAGTTCTATGCTGAGGGTTCTTAACTTTTTACCTGTTGTGTTCAACAGTGTATTTAGCTTTTCAAAAATAAGAAAACATGTTAGTTATCGCTTTCTAAAGAGCTCAAAGTACTTTGTTTAACTGTGAAATCCAGGTAGTCTAACTACCTCTTGCGGAACATGTCTTATAAGCAATTTTTCTCGTCTAGGTGTGTATATTTATGGTTTGAAAATCGATGGCGCTGCTTGGAGAGTGACTCGTGAGAAAGGTGGCCATTTAGCTGATCCCCCACCGAAACAACTGTACTCTGATTTGCCTGTTGTACATGTAAGTAATATTTTATTCGTTTATCTTCATAGCCAGAGATTACGATAATGTTGTATTTATCCATAGGTTTATGCCACAAATGAAGCAAAAGTATTGGGTAGTTCATATTATGTTTGTCCAGTTTACAAGAAACCTCGTCGTACTGATCAAACATTTATTTTTACATTGACACTAAAAATAAATAATAATAATCCAGATTTTTGGTAAGTTCGTTACTTTCCAATTCATTCTGTAGGCTAATCACTAAAGCGTTCTTTATAGGATATTACGTGGTGTGGCATTACTTTGTGATACAAAATAAAAACGTGTCCGTCCATGTTCGTATTTACAATCAATCCTTTTAGCCATATTTTGTTTATATATTTTTCGCATCTATTCCATTCACAATATATTTATTCTATTAATCTCAGAACACAGTAAATTATTGACAATGTGATGAATTTTGTTCTCGTTTTTTTGTTTTATAGTTTTATTTTGTGCAGAAATGAAATTTAGTGTTATGGCAAATATATAAGTTTTTGCTATCTACAAATGTTCATATTTTATAAAGCAGTGTAGGATATGAATTGCAAATACTGTAAAGAACAATAAACAGTCTTTTTTCTAGATTCATCAAGAACTTTAGTCTTCTCCCTTTTGTGTATGGTTATTTAATCTTAAAATTTATTTCACAAAATCTCTGAAGAATCACAGTGGTTTCACGAAAAGGAGGCGAGAGTTATGAAACATGGTATCCTTTCACTAGTCTCTTTATAGGTAGTAAGGCCTCGCTCTGGCCAGTCATCTCTGCTACCGAACTGAAATTCCGGAACGATTTTTTTGCATTTTGTTTTTCTTATAATGTTTGAGTAACGAGACGTCTAGAGATCTAGAATATCACAGATTAAAGAGAAAAGTGTGCTAAAGATTCTGAGATGTTCCTACAGTCTACACA